TTTGGAAAGCTAGCACAGAAGTCATCTAGTTATCTCACAATAGGTCTTATCTTGTAACTGTGACTCAGATAAGCAGATAATGAAAAGAAAGCGAGGGGGGGAAACAGAAGGGAATGGGAAAACAGGAAGCTGTAAAGGCTTGGGAAATAGAAAGTCAGTTCAGAGTGAAGGTAGGAGAAGAGGCAACAAGAGAAAAGGGGGAAGAGAAAGACCACGGTACACAACTGCAATTCATCTCCACAATTTGTTAATTTCAGTAGTGTTTTAGGTTTGGCTTCCAGCATTTTATTTACAAGATTTGAGATGCTTACAAATTCATTTATGGGCCAAAGAACAGAAGTAATTTGTTGAAATAAGCATATTATTTAATTTCATATTCCAGAGAAGGGCAACCACAACAGCGAGGTGATTGGAAATCATCGATTATGCTTAGCCTGCAAATAGAAGCAGGGGGAATGGGGAGGGGGAATAATGGCAAGTGTAACCATACAACTCAAGCCATCTGTTGGGACACCTAAAGCGTACTGCTGTTTTGTGGCAGCTATCCTCTGGAATGAAATTCACCCTGAAATACAGATGGCTTCCACCTTAATGACATTTCATATGACCTTAAAGACCTGATTCCTTTCTCAAATTCAGGCTTTGGGAAGTTGGAGTCCCTTACTGGTCTGTTATATATGTTTGGAATTGCTGGACAGATTTATCATCTTGTTTAATTGTTTTCAGTTGTTAGTCTATGTGTGTAAGAGTGTGTGTGTGTGTGCGCGCGCACGCGTGTGCGCGCGTATTATGAGCACCTAATTTGGAGTCAGTGCCTATCCTTGAGAAGGACTCAATAGGTGAATAAAAATGCCAAATTCAGTCCAAATATCAGACTGACTGTGCAACAAACCATAAATAATAAGCATTTCCTTATAGCTGTCAAACAATGGAATATGTTACCCTATAAAATGGTGAGCAATTTGTATTCACGGAGGTCTTTAGGCTAGAAGCCAGGAAACTGTGAGTAAGTCATTTTAGTCATGAAAGCTGGCTGGGTGATATCAAGCTGAAGGGTTTAAATGTATTGATCCTGAACCAAATGCAAAGTGAGTCATCAGAATATGTTTTAAATTCTGTTAACAGTAAATTCTGTCGTTCCCCCATTTGTTTCCCTCAGTAAATTTTGTGGTTTTCATTAATTACTTTAAAACAAGCAGTCCCGACCCTACCAGTTCTATTTGTTCCCATACACACTCATATACACACATGTATGTGAATTGTATATATATGTGCTTTTACACATACACACACCCCAACTTTCTCACAAAGCCTGATATTCACAAAGGACATTATTTAGACATAAAATGGAATAATTTCCCATTATGTTTCCAAAAACACCTACTTAAGAATTTTATTACACTGCATCTTTTACATTGAGCTCTCTTGCACTTATCACCTCCCACTGATTGACCAAAAAAAATCATTTCCACAATGAGGCCTTCAAAGAAACGGGTTCTATTTCACATGTGCTATATTGTCACTTCAGAGCAACGTGTCAAAAAGAAAGGTGTGTTACTTTCCAATACAGGATGGCAAACCCAACTGCTCTGACTCATAATTCCCCTTCCAGCCAAAACCATTGTGGCATACAGCATGAGCTGAAAAATCAAGGTAGGAGCAATATGGTTCTTGTAGACATGACTGAAATCCTAAGTACATGTTTAGTATCTTCTGCCCTGATTGACTTGGTAATTTTTAGGAGTTTTTCTTTAAATTGTAATGGCAAGACAGAATTAAAAAAAATAAAAGCAGTGGATTGCTACAACATGATGAATATATGGTGGATTTGTTGGTAGGGAACACTCAACAGTGGGCTAACTGAGGAGACAAGGATTTTGTCTTCTAGCAAATTTCTGTTATGTGATTTGATTAACACACTTTAATAACCATTTGACAACAAGACGGCCTTTCTCCACCAGCAGTTATTTTGTACTCTCAATAAACTCTTAAATGTGCTCAGTATCCTAAAAAGTTTGCTCACTCTTGCAGTGAAAGAAGTGTATTCATTCTATTGTTTTGTCTATCTAGAAATCTTTCACAAAAATTATGCCGTTTCTTTATTATTAAACTTGCATATTATTCCTTCAAGTCTTTAGTTTCATTCTCTCTGATCCCCAGATAGGATCCCCACTCACCCTCATATTCTGAGGAAAGATTTTGCAAAAGGATATGCCCCATGGAACTGTCATTTAATGAGAAACTTGCAAAATGTATTCAGAATTCCAATCATCCCCAAACAGTTACTAGATTCCCACTTGAAAGGTTTGAGGGGTGGAAACTAGCCAGTGGTGTTTATGGAAGATAGCATTGGGAGACCTGTATAGAATCTCACTCCACAGATTTTGCAAATGCGAACGTAGTAAATGAGATAAAGAAGACTAGAGCACTATTTCAGTATACATTCATTCTTGTACTCTGCAGTCACTGAGACTCAGTTACAGGGCTGAGTAATGCCTAAAGTAATTGCATTTCTTTTTTGTTTAGTTATGGATTTGTATATGTTAAAGTCTGCGTAATTGAATTCCATTCCAGCCTGTGGTTATCATCCTTGAGCTTAGCAGTCTCTCTTGCTGTCCATAGGCTTCGATAGGTAAAAGTTACCAAATAATAGGTAATTTTGGAGAAGCTAGGCATAGAAAAATTGTAACTTTGGTTTGTTGTAAGAGTTTCAACAAAAAGGATATATGTGAAGGGAACTAAACATCTGTAAGAACTATAAAAGTGTTTTCTTTTGCTTTGTGTTACTACAGTATTAGGAGCTAGGCATCTTGTTTAAAAATCTTTCATTTCATTGAAAAAATACTCTATTACAGATTTTATTTTTTATTTTATTTTAGCTTCCCTTGGGCAGAGTTTGATTCTAAAGTAGAACATATGTACACAATCCCTACAGCAATATTCCCTTTGTCTTTTGTATAGAAGAATGACATTTTTCCCAATATAATAAAAAATTGAAATGCCTCTTGATATAAGAGTCCAATCATTCAAAAACAGTCTTACTGAAGAACAGAGAACTAAGCAGGAAAGAGCAAAGCCCACATACATGGCTGATACAAATTAAATCTCATCCAACTGAAAAAAAAATCAAAAGCACTGCCAAATTAATGTTTTTTAAACAATCTCAAAAATGCATTCATTTTAGATTTGTGTGAATGGATCTAGATTTTAAAAATGTTCCTTATATTACCATTGTTCCTAATAATGACTATGTGAAGTTTTGTACACTCGGCAAACTTCCAAAAGTTTACAAGCATCACTGTAGAGGAACAAATGTTTTAAAATGTTCCTATAGTTCTTTGGATCACATTTTTCTACAAAGCAAGGAAACTACTAAAACATCTTGCATGGCTGAAATAATGAGTATTCTCTGGTTCTCTGAGGTATGCTGAGGTGTTTTTTTCACATCCTTTATTTAACCCAGGCTTCCTAAATGACAATTCATTTCAAATGACAAATTCTTAGTTTGAAACATTGACTCAACAGCAAAGTAGACATGTTGTGTTTCCACCATTGTAATCAGTCCAAGAATTGGTAATCATGTAACTTTAATTTTGTACTCATACAAATCCAACAGTTCAGCTCACACGACTTAATCAAAATGAAAGATGTCTGGCATCTTCCCATTATGCTTGTTTCTCACCAATCAAAACCTATTAGCCAGAGACACTGGAAATAAAAATGCTTTGGGTGTGATTGTTTTAGGTGTGATATCTATCACACAGAAACTGCCCAGCCTAATGCAGAAATTAAAAGTTCATTTGAAAAGATCCAACATTCATTCACTTTCTGAATAGTGATAACTGCAAATTTAAGCAACTGGCTCCATCTAGAGGAAACATTCTTTCAGAAATTAAGGAAACATCCCTCCAGAAATTAAAAAAGCTCATTTGAAAAGGTCCAACATTCATCTGCTTTCTGAGCAGTGATAGCTCTAAATTTAATCAAGTGGCTCCGTCTAGAGGAAACTAGAGGAAACGTCTTTCCAGAAATTAAACTCATTTGAAAAGGTCCAACATTATTAATTCACTTTCTGAACAGTGATAGCTCCAAATTTAAACAATTGGCTCTGTTTAGAGGAAACACTCAGCCAAAATGAAGAGCTCTTCCTACGGAGAATTGCATTTCCAATATTTTTTCATCATCATGGAGAAAAGATTTGTTGTCCAACTGAATATGCCAATCAAATGTTAATATTTTGTTACCTCTGTCTCCACCACAATCTAGGATAATCAAGACACTGATTATGGAGTAGGCAAGTAGGAACAAAATTCCTAAATTTGTCTAGACCTAAAACAACTTCCTTCCTTCTTCTATTTGTGTGATCATTAGCCATGGCATTTGTTGATAATAGGAGTTGTAAGATAACATAACTGGAGGTTTAACATGGTGGAATTTCTATGAAAGCCTAGAATGGAGTTATGGAAAAGTTATGTTACAAATAACAGCTTTTAGCATCTCCAGTCAACATGGCTGGTGCTGTGGAATGTTGGAGGTTATAATTCAGCAACATTTTTAAAAATGTCATTTTGCTCATACATAGACAAGGTTCTGATTGGGTGCACACAGCCACTGTTCAAGCTTTTGTATGTAGATCTGTGTATTACTCAGCAGATTGAGGGATTTTATTTTTTGCATCACCAAAGTCAACAATGCGTCTGTTGTTGAAGTAGTACTGAAGTAGAGGTCACTAAAGTCCTTTACTATTTCACCCAATGAGAGCCAGATTCTTCTTATCAAGACGACTCAGAAAAGATGACAGGATTTTCTTCCAAACAAGCATGGCCAGAACTAGAGATATAAGTGTTGTTCTGGAAACTTTTGTATGTGCAAAAACATGCACATATGTTGATTACAATAAAGCTTCTTTCCATGGATATATAATTCTCATAGCAGAAACTGTCCGGTCAGTCTGGTGAGCAAGGCAACAATTAACACACATAAATACAAAAGCAAACATTGATGTATTAGGTGTCTTTAATCCAAAATGAGGGAAAGCAGGAAAGCAGACTAAATCCTCTTGTTAGCAATAAGACACCAAAACAAATTGAACATTTTTTTTTACAAATTAAAGTTCCTTACAGTGTCTAAAATGTCACTAAAAACTAAAGTTTTCTTTTCAAATGGAAAGGAAAGCAAGTATGTGTGCTTAAAAAAAATACCAATAAAACAAATATGATAAAAAGATATCCATTCATGGGAGGATATATGGGGGTGGGGGACAAAAATTGACCATCAGGCAAACGAGGCAAATTTGTATATAAAGATTTTCTCCTCCATGAAATAATTGTAAGAATCAGAAAAACTCTCAATTTTAAACAAATGTGCCCAAGGAAAAAAAAGATAATCCCAGCTGAAGTTTGCAAACCTTGTAGATACATTCCATCTTATTCAAAATAAAATTGTGGCGCTTTGGTTTTCTAAACAGAACTCACACCATAATCATCACATATTTGTGCCACATTGCCAACTACTACCTAGAAAAGTTCAGGTATTCATTCAACAAAAAAGCTAATTTTTGTTGCATTTATCCTTTTACATCATTATGGCAGGGGCAGACTCCATCCTACGTGAATCTGAAGCTACCTAAAGCTTCCATGAGATGCTTATCTCATATGTAAGTAGTCAGTCCCAAGAGTTGTGGGTTCTTAGTAATTTTTTATTCCTAAAAAAAGGGGGCCACCATGAGCAGCTACAAAATGCAACAGCATGAGATCTTTTTAAATGGATTCAGTTTGACACTGAATGAGATGATGGTGGAAACTGGGCAACAAGACATATTTTGGTATACTGCTCCAGGATCAGCTAGTGAAAGAGATCAGTTAACCAGCAAACACCTTCTTTCTGTCATGCCACCTAAATACCCTGAGATCATAATTGACTTCTGAGTGCATCATGGATCCCACCATTATCGCTCAGAAATTCAAGTTAAACTACAAAAAGTAGGGACTTCCTCCTTCTACTAAACATTCTACTACAGCATTATATATGATCTGCTAAATCACAAGCAAAGGGGAAATAATCCTGTGCATACCAGTGAGTGACAGAAAGAGAGAAGGCTTCCAGTTTAAGATGGTATCTTACACTGGGACATTTGATTAATTAACTCTTAAGATTACAAACTGAGGTCTTTACAAGTTGCACAAACAACAGAACAGTTCTTGTTAAATGAAGACAAAAAAATCAACAATGCCTTTGTTTCAGATGGCATTTCAATGGCCCAGAAGTTCCTCTGAAACAAACCAAAAGCCTTATCTTTTAACAAAACAAAACAATCAACACCATAATACTTTGAACAGGACTCTGTTGGGGTTTCAACTCTACAGTAATTTTAAAAATATATATATATATTATTATTAACCCTTATAAGGTTATCACAGAAATTTCAGTGTTTCTGAGGATCAAGGGGAGATTTTACAAATAAAAATCCAATTATCAGAATATTTTTCCTATTGGACCATTAAAAAAATTAAAAATAATAAAAGGGTGTATTTGTACAGCAGCTGTTTCCTGCCTCATCTTAGAAACATGAAGGGCAGCTAGAACTAGTCTGATATAAAGAACTGAATTCCATGTGTTTGATAGGACAGTCTTGTTTCCAATTTCGTTTAAAAATATATAAGTATTATTATTGCTTTCACAACCATCAACCAGGCTCTATTTAATTCTCAGTGAGGGAGAACTGCAGTTTCAGAAGTGTTTGCTTTCTTCCGCCTTTTCATGAGCAATGGATTAGAGGAGTCTTCAATTTTCTTTATTTTAATCTGTTCATAATCTACCCTCATAGTGGCCAAGGCACTTGTCATCTCCTCCTAAATTGGGGTAGAGAGAAAACAAAATTACAGGAGATTAGTAACAGAGAAATGAAGCCACAAATTTAGAGAAGATGCTGGAGGTCTCATAAAAATAATCAGCATGGATAGATGATAAGGAACACTTCTCCCTAGAGATCTCCCACTCTATCCTTTGCCATTTTCAGTGTTGGCTTTTTAGAATACTATTGCCTCTGTTCCAAATTAAATATCTTCAAATAACTTTTACCTGCCTTTCCCTGCTATATTTTATAGTACCTATATAGCAAGATTAAAAGTTAAAAGTCTAAGGCTCTCAGTGAGCAGCTATCCCTTTTATTTTCTTCCCAGTAATAGCTGGTACCAAACATTTATAAGAAAATAGGGGCCTATTGCAGATTCAGCCTGGATGTCTTTGATCAATCTTTTAGCATTTTTAAAAAAAATTCTAGCATAAGACAGAGGGAAGGAGGGTATCTTTCATTTTGTACTTTGTCTATGCATACTCTTTATCATTATAGTGTGTGTGTGTGTGTGTGTGTGTGTGTGTGTGTGTGTGTGTGTGTGTAAAAATATGTGACATATAGAGTGTAGGAATTTACCTTCACATCCTCCCAAAGGTCTTTCTCTTCTTTCAAAACTCTACTAGTATGCAGAGGTGTCTGCGGCACTTGCATTGATTGCTATGGAGAGAAAAGAAAGAGCAAATTAGTATATTCTCAGATGTTCCTAGATTACACATCAATATTTACTGCTAATAAACAACTGAGTCTTACCATTATCCATGGATGATTCATGAACTCTGTTATAGTCATCCGCTGGGTAGGATCTGTTTTCAGCAAATTTCGAATCAATTGTTTAACTGAAGGAAGAAAACACCAGATATATCAATATAATGCGCATTATTTTTTCTCATATACATGACGTGATAATGGTGAGAACAAAATTTGCTCCTTTAGTTCAAGAAATACAGCACTGCAACTTCATCTTCTACTGTTCTCAGGTTGATCTAACTATCTAAGCATATCAGCACATTAAAGCTAGTATAAGCCAATTTCCCCCAACATGGCACCTTCCAGATCTAATGGACTATAACTTCCATTATCTTTTCCAAATTGCTGGCAGAAGATAATGAGAACTACAACCTAACACAGCTGGAAAGACCATGACAGTATATTTTGTCAAAATGTGAAGTGACACTCATTAAAGAATATCTTGAGAAACACTTTCAATCTGTTTTGATTTTTTGCTGTAATGAGTGCTGAAAGTTATGGATACATGAAAAAAGATATTGGGGCTTTTAATGCCTGCTTTCTTAAAAACTCATGCTCCTTATAAACTTTCATTCAAAATGCTTCTAGTAATATGTTCTTCTCCAGTGGATTCTACTAGCAAAAGCTGAAGAGAAATTTACCAACATCTCCTCTTCATTTAGGACTAGGGTATATGAAAGAATGCAAAACTCACAAAGCAGTTCTCTTGGATCATGGCCAGATTGTGGAATAACTTTAAGTTTTCAAACATTAAAAAGTATACAGGATCCCCTAAGATCCTTTACTTCTTTTCTTATTCAAAGCACAGGTTTGAAACTCATTAAGCCACCTTTTCCCCCAAAATCCCAAAACAATAATTGTTCACAATAACATTTACCTTCTTCTGATACTTCAGACCATTCTGGGTTTGGAAATTCATATTGACCCATTCTGATCCTTTTCTTCATCCCTGGAGAAATTGCCAAACCATGGTTTGAATAAAAAGGAGGGTAGCCACATAGTCTACACAAAATAGAGAGAGAAATTATCTTGCGTTATTTATTTTGCATTAGTCACTTTCAAAGGCAGTCCCATGTAATATCTAACTGTGAGTGTGAATTACTATGGGCCGGTCATTCCTTCCAAGGGTCACTTGCAGCCTGAGTGACAGAAATGAATGCAGAAACAGTGTACAGTGCTCCTTCAATCTGAAGCCTCGTAGAGTGTTTGATGATAGAAGTTGTATATACTGAGTTCACATGAAAGAAAAGAGTAAAATGTCCTCATGACTTCAAAACTACACTCAGAAGGAGGGAGGCAGCGATAATAATCATTAGAGGAGCAGAAATAAGCTTTAATAGCATCCTTCTTCTTAATTTAGTAACCCTGATAAAGAGTAGATATATCTATAGTAAATAGAGTCAAGGGTCCATCAATATTGGCTCATCTAAAAAAAAACAGCCAAAACTAGCAGACACCAGGACCTTATCTCTTATTTTTGATTTACTGTTTCGCAAAATTCAGGAGCAATCAACTTCTCTTTGTTCTTACTACATTTCTGGCTCTCAAGAAGAAAGTATGAATTATTTTCACTGTTGCTCTCAATTATAGAAACTTGACACCTCTGGCCTCAAAGGTGAATTAATTTGTTATACAGTAGTATTGGTAGTCTAGCAGTCAAATCACACGGCAAGGTATTCCTCTTCAGAGCTGGCTGAGAGGTTCATGGGTTGCCAAGATACTATTGGTTGCCAAGATACTCAGAAAACCTTTATGGCTCAGTATGGAAATCATAAACTCTACTTCCACTTCCCTCTTCACTTATTTGAAACTGGGGAGAAAAATTGTGTTTGTTTTTTTATCTGAGTGTCTATTTTAGCATTTTCATATATGCACTTTAACTCAAATGCTGACTAGTGAAAAATGTCAAGTAATTTGGTACAAAACTGCTTAGAAATTCAAATGACAAGATCAGCTTTTGGAATAACGCTCATGAACATTGTTGATACCCTTTTACCCATTAATCACTGTTTTCTAGAATGGAAATATAAGCAACAATACCAAGACATGCAATCTTTCCATTCTATCTTATAATAATAGGCTTTATCACTATTTCCATTTTGACAGCCTGCTCATTGTCCACCCCACCTGCAAATAAGCTGAGCTTGTAAGCATATTCTGTGCATCACCTTTAGTGCTTACTGATAATTATTTTGAACTGCATAACTGATTTGATATGAACTGCACAACTGATTTTAAAAAGTTGATATACTGAAAGGCCTGTTTATAGGTTCAATAAAATCTAGAACACAGTATGGAGAGCAGAAAATTCAAAGTAATTCCAGGTAAGCCAAGCAACTTACAAAATATACATGATGACACCAAGAGACCACATATCACAGGATTTGTCATATTTCTCTGGGCCTAGTACTTCTGGAGCTAAAGGGGAAAAGAAACAGAGATTTAACTGAATGTGATCTCTATTCTGCTGTGCCTCCAAGCAGTGAGGCAACATTTGTGAAGTAGAGAAGACAGAGAGCAGAAAGATGTATCACAGAAAAGCAGCCAGTATACTGCATGGGTGCTAATTATTTTTTCATCTACAAAACCTGAATGAGCATTCCTGCTTTGGTAGCTTAAAACAGTTCCCTTGTCATGATGAGTAAATTCCTCCTCACGATAGAGAAAAGGAATTAGTTATATCAATATCATGATATTATTAGTCATAATATCAAAAGAGGAGGAGGGGGAGGGGGAGGGGGAGGAGGAGGATTCTCAAGAGCTTCCTATAGCCAGAAAACAAGCAAAGAATCTTCAAGGAGAAAGATCTGAGAGTTTTTCACCATCTTACCATAGCTGACGCTAAAGAATAAGAAAGGAATAAGTCAGTCTCTACTTCCTCATGTGAGATGATTTTTTTCCCTTGCCATCCACAGCTCTTAAAACTGGATACAAGCTCCAAACACCCTCTTTTTATTTACTTACATTTGTATTTATTAACCAGTTAGGGATAGAAAAAGCAGGCTCTGGTAGAGACAGTATAGGCCACAGAGCAAGCCAGCCAATTACAATCTAAGAATGTTGCTTGCTTTGAATTATGGGCAAAATGACCACTTAGCCTTTTGAAATAATTGCTAAAAATTACTCTGGGGAAATGGATTATATATAGTCCAAACTGTAGCTGACATATTTTTGAATCCCTTAAGCAAAGACTTGAGCAGCAGAAAATGACTACCTAAGACAGCAATAGACCATCAGCCTGTGTTTTAAGAAGAAAAGAAGTATGTTAATTCTGAAGAAAAGGCTGACATTATTAGGTAAAAGACACCACTAGAAGAGCAAAGTATGACATGGCAGGATAATAAAAGACATCTTTTATTTTAACAAGAGTATAGTATTCAGGCTTTTACAAAAGAACATAATTGTCTCTTCATTTAGGAACTTATTACCCCTGGCACTGTGCCTGGAAAACCCTTGCTTCAGTATTTGCAATTTGGACACAATTTATCAGCACAAACTATCCCTTCAGTTCCTGTGAAAGAGACTGTGAGTGACTGATAAATACAATTTGAAAGTTTGCCAGCAAAAGATCATTAAAGGTCATTAAAAAAGATTTAAAAGTTGCATTAAAAGTCATTTTGTAACTGAGTTGGATATCACTCCACGCACATTCTTTTAAAATTATCAACAAGATAGTTATTTTACATAATTGTATATATAGGCTTTGTCTTTTTTCTTTATTTATAGATTTAGAAACTTAATTTTTTTTTTCTTTATGAAAGCAAGCTTGTTTTAATTGGACATTGCAAAGTAGAATTTCTACATTCTACTCATATTGAGAAGCAAAAATATTAAAACAATTCAATTAGTCTTCCTAGATGGAATAAACTAATTGAAAGCCATCTTCTGGATATGCCAGTAAATGTGGCTTCAATTCTGCACAATTCATGTTGAAAACAAAAATGCAATCATTATAAGCATATTTGTTCACCCAATCAGCTGGAAGAAAAACTAGATGGATTAAATCTATTGATGGATAGTTCTGCCCATTTTTGCAGGAAAAAGGACATATTTGGAATCTCATTCCAAAATTAAGGTATACCCAGAATAAATAAGTAAGTAGAATGTGGCAATAGTCAGATTTGATTTCATTCTGTTCACATTTACATATGCTGAAATTAAAACTAAAGAGTATTACTTAACTTTTACTAATATTAACACATTCCATGTATTTAATAAGTTTATAATGCCCAGGCAACTTTTGAAGCACCTACTTCCACAACTTTCAAGGAATTCAGAAATACTTTGCTGCCACCTAATGGTTGTCTGGAGATTTACAACCCAAATTTAGTAACTAGAAATTACCAATCAGTTCCTATGAAGTGCTGCCTTGCATTCTTGAACATTTGTTCTTGTTCCATCCCAGCTATTTTCAGAACAGAGCAATATGCATGACCTTCACCTGAATTTTACCATCATTGTCTCTCTAAAGATACAGATAGTCCTCAACTTACAGCCATTCATTTAATTACAATGGGACCAAAAAGTGACTTATGACAAATAAGTGTTGCAGCATCTCTATCGTCACATGGTCAAAATTTGAATGTTTGTCAACTTGCTCATATTTATGACAGTTGCAATGTTCCAGGGTCATGTGATCATGTTTCACGACCTTCTGAGAAGCAAAGTCAATAGGGAAGCCAGTTCACTTAACAACCAAGTTATTAAACAACTCCAGTGATTCACTTAACTGGAAAGAAAAGTTGTAAAATGGGGCAAAACTCACTTAACAACTGTCTTGCTTAGGAACAGAAATTTTGGTCTTAAGTCGAGTATTACCTGTAACAGCAGAAGCCTGTAAGACTCAATCTCAAAAAAGCATTGTGTTCACAAATTATCCATGTAGTGATGTTACTTACCCACATAGTATGGTGTGTAGCATGGTGTAGCTAAGGAGTTATGTGTTGTGGTTTCTTTAGCAAAACCAAAGTCTGTGAGTTTTAATACAGCATTTGGCCTTTTTGAGGTATATAGAAGATTTTCTGGCTACAAGACATAAAAAGATAACGTCCTCAATCAAAAGCTATCTTCTATATCAACTTTTAAAAATTGTTCTAATCATAGAAGGTAAAAAAAGAGCCCAGCACATAAAATCATGTAATGCTATTTCCTCTGTAATTTCATTCAAAATAATTCCTACAATTTATTTATACAATAATTTTATAGGCTACCTCATATGCATGACTAACTCTGTGGTTGATTTCAGTTCCTCTAAATCAATCCCTAAATTGTTCTTACTCTGTTTTACTCTGCCAACAGCTAACATGTTATAAACAGAGTAAAAGAGAGTAAGAAAACCTTTTTAAAAAACTAGAACATTTATTGCTTGACTTCATTTATACACTCACAGTCTGGAGGCCAGCCCTATTCAGCTGTTAGAAACCACTTAGCTTAAGAAAAATAAGTACAATCAGTAAATGAAAACATCAAGATTATAAATGAAAAACATACACGGTGGCTCAGTGGCTAAGAGGCTGAGCTTGTCGATCAGAAAGGTCGGCAGTTCAGCGGTTCGAATCCCTAGACTGCATAATGGAGTAAGCTCCCATTACTTGTCCCAGCTTCTGCCAACCTAGCAGTTCGAAAGCATGTAAAAATGCAAGTATAAAAATAGGGACCACTTTGGTGGGAAGGTAACAGCATTCTGTGTGCCTTCGGCATTTTAGTCATGCCAGCCACATAACCACGGAGATGTCTTTGGACAGCACTGGCTCTTCGGCTTTGTAACGGAGATGAGCACTGCCCCACTACAGCCGGAAATGACTAGCACATATGTGCGAGGGGAACTTTTATCTTTTCCTTAGTGCACAATAGCAAGCAAAAATATTGGGAGCAACTTAAAATAATTCATATGGATATGTTAAAATGGCTGAAAAAAGGATCTTTTCTGATCCTTCATGAAAAGGAATACATCCTTCAAAGGTGAATGCTGTATAAACAGAGTATCTCTGATTTAAAAAAGCCCCAACCATGGTTGTAACCTATCTAAACTTAGAACGTTCATCATGCAAAGAGCTCCTTATAATCTGCCACTAATTATTCAGTTTAAAACCAAAAAATATCACATAGTTCAAGCATACTGCATTAAGTAAGGCCTCCTTTTGCTTGTGGCGATATAGGTATTTAAGAAAAAACTTTAGAAATTATCGGTTATATTGCATAGGTCTAAGATAATACATACCTTAACATCCCGGTGTGCAATGTTGATAGAGTGTAAATACTGGATGGCTTCACCAATACTTTTCATTATTTCAGAAGCCTCTGAAGGAGATAGAGAAAGGGGGGAGGAGGAGACCCCCACCTCAGTAACTAAACAGGCAAAAAATTCACATCCCAATTAAAGATCACAAGGCCATTGCATTTCGGTATTAGATTAAGATTCAGAGCATAATCAAATGTAGCATGGCTACAACTTGCACACTGTGCATTTATATTACATTTCTCTCTTCCCTTTTATAACGTGGTTCTTCTGTCCTCATGTTATAAGGTATTTGTTTCCTAATTGTTGTTCACATCATAGGCTGGAATAGACTGCCTATCCCAGCCTATGGGATTTGACCATGTCAAATTTAAGGGACTGATTGCACTCAAAATACCATCCCATCTTCAATTCTATTTTAGGATACTAACCATGATGTTCAGGCTGGTAAAATTACTGTATGTTCAACATCTATCCAGAATCTCAATAATGTTTTTTTTTTTAAAAAAAAAATCTGGTTTAAAATTGTTAAACTGAAAGCTCTTAAATAGATGCAGATGCAGATGATGTTAAGGGAGACTTTGATGGACATTACTGGAGAAGTGGGCTGTTTTTTTTAAAAAAAAGTCACTGACACTGCTGTAAAAAGGAGGGCACAATTCGAGACTAATGAAGGACTTTGGTTAATTTGAGGGAAACAGGCAGTTAAGAAATATGAAATATAAATAAATAAATACGGTTTTTGTGGGAAAAATGCTGGCAAAGTAGTTAGAATGCAGGCAGTCGGTAGGCTAATTCTACTGACTGCCAGAGTTTGATTCTGACCAGCTCATGGTTGAGTCAGCCTTCCATCCTTCCCAGGTGGGTAAAATGAGGACCCAGATTGTTGGGGACAATATGCTGACTCTGTAAACCACTCAGAGAGGGCTTTAAAGCACTGTGAAGCACTATATAAGTCTAAGTGCTATTACTATTCATTGACAACACCAGCTTCAAGCAACAGAATGACAATCTTTACCTCAAGCACCAACAAACAGACTTCATCAAATATATTATATAACAGGAAATCTAGATACAGATTATTAAAAAATACCATGAATTACTTATGTAATTATTGATGTAGATAGCTGCCCTAGTAAGATGTGAGCTGGAGAATATACAGGATAATATTAATGTAAGAAGCATGTACTTAACTAACCTGAAAATATACCTGAGGAAATGTAAAAATTGACAAGAGATATAATACTGGAAAAAATACTGGAAAGTATTCATAAAATTTCAAAGGATCAAGACAGAAGATTAAAGCCTAAAGCCATAGGAAAAACATAATAGTTGAAAGCAGAACTTTTAACATCAAGCAAGAAAGGCCAAACAAAAATCCACTTTGTGTCTGTGTGTGTGTGTGTGTGTGTGTGTGTGTGTGTGTGTGTGTGTGTGTAATTGCTTAATGGGAAGTATATATACTTAAAGTAGGATTTTCAAGAGTGATAATATATATGAGAAGCCATAGAGAAAAAGACTACTATAATGAAATGTTTTATGGATGAGAGTATAGAATAACAAAAATGAGCCCCTCCCCAAGGGACATGGGTGGTTAAGAAGTATGAAATATAAATAAATAAGAAATATTTAAGGAGAGAAGAGATATTCAGTACAGTCCCCACCAGAAAACAGACAATGGACTGACAAATACACACACACACACAAAAACAGATGCAAATGAAACCTATAGGAAAAATGAGAGTTAAACTCTATGCCAACAAATGTAGGATAAAATTGTGTGATCTAGAGATTGGGGGAAAAAGTGGGGAGGGGGAGGGAGGGAGAGAGGGGGCAGACAGTCAAATTCAAATGAAGAGAAAATTCACACAAGGTAGTGGGAAAGATAATGAAAATAAAATTGATAATGAAAAACAAATTGAAGAGATTTCCTTCTTCTTTAATGATACAACCTTTGATTGCCAGATTGTGGAATATATTAAAGCTACCCGGTGGGTCCAAACACCCAATTATTACAATGAATAAAAAGCTGATACAGGAACTGAATCTGAAGAAATAACGTAACTCAGAGTAAAAAGAATATGAAACAAGGGTCTATATTGTCACCATATATTTTTAAGTTCTATGCTTTTGGAAAGGGTAACTGCTGGAATCAAACTGGAAGCTAAAACTCTAACAGTCTAAGATGTGCAGAAAATATTTTGTTAGCAGAAATCTAAAAAGACTAAAAAGACCTCATTATGAAATTAAAAGTGTACAGTGAAAAACAGATTAATGTTAAGTATTTAAAAAAATACTGTCAACAGGCATGCTGAATGAACTTACACAGTTGGTGATCAAGAAGTGAAGTAGATAGTTTTATTTTCTTGGACTTAGATAAAGATGGGCAGAGTGCTGGAGAGGTAAAGAGGAGATTAGTGCGATGGAGGAGGGACATAATACAACAGACAAAAACATGAAGGATTAGAATATGTCCCTGATAATAAAGATCAGAATAGTTAAAGTAATGCGTTTTCCAATGGTAATGGAAAGTTGGGACACTGAAAAAGAACAAGAGAAAAGAAGATAGATTATGAAATAGGGCAAATTACAAAAGAGTGTCATGGACAGCAGAAAGAATCAATCAACCAACCTAAAACAGTTACAGACTGACCACTCCTTTGAAAAGGTTATTATTAGTAGTACTATAAGGCATTGCTAATTAGCCAGGAGATTACAATGCTAATGTAGATTAGTAGTTTGGCTGCCAATTTGCTAGCCCTGCTTGTGCGCTTCCCAAGGTGCGCCATAGAAGGACAAGCTAGCTTCACATCAGAGAGAAAGACGAGATGAAGTGTTCATGGAAGGCCCTCTTCCTCCACAAGATCCACCTCACAAATGGATGTCACAAAGAGGAAAGTTCAGAGCCAGCAAGAATCTGACCGCCTGCACAAAGCACAGCTCATTTCCCTACTCAAGTGTTCCTATTTATCTACTTGCTCAGGACATGCTTTCAAATTACTAGGTAGGCAGAAGTTAAGGCAAGTGATGGGATCTCACCCCACCACACAGTGCTAGGGCTCGAACCGCTGAGCAAAGACCATCTCCAGTGTCATCAAGCTGCTGAGCCACCATGCCTTCTTTGAAAAGATGATCAGCAAGAAAAAAAGCCTCTTATATTTTAGGCATATCAGACTGGAAAAAGCAAGTAGGCTGGCAAGGGAACTAGAAAAAGGGAAAGACTATGGGTAAGATGGACAGACAGGATCAAAGACATTGTGGGAAATTTACTGGAAAAGCTATGGTATTATCTCTGGAGGCAAATTTAAACATCCATCATCCTATCACCAGAATCTGGGCCAGATTCAGCAGCACTCGACTAACTAGCTTGTTACTGATACATTATGAGATCAAGAAAGATAAAGAACACAGTAGATTTAGTGGCCTAAAGTTTATCCAAGCCTATTTGAAATAATTTTTGGGAAACTCCTTGGAAGAATTGGGTTAGGAGTCTTAGGACTTTTTCAATAGTGCCCTTGCTAAAGAGTAGCAGAATATGAACACATGTATTAGGCTTGAACAAATCTATTCTATCCCTTCATACCTCTTTCTGTGAAAGCTTGATCTCCTCTATCTTGAATTCGACTGAAGAGTTCCCCTCCATCCAAGCTGAAATTCATAAACAAATTTAGTTATGATAACAATTGCTGTCTCAACCCAAAACTATGAACACATTTCTATCACCTCTGAACCACAAATACTCGGATCTTCAGAATATTGTCCCTTTTAAGTAAATTGGCATTGCAGTAGATTGGCTGATTACACTGATGCACGAAACCAGCAATGTCCAACTTGGCAACTTTAAGACTCGTACACTTCAGTTCTCAGAATTTCCCGGCCACAAAGTGAAATAGCCACAATGTGAATCATAAAACATACTTTTCAAACTATAGTGGCTGAAATCGGGCATTCCTGCTAAGCAAAATCAAACTATAAAATCTTCTGGTTACATAAGAATGTGAACTCAGTCACTGTCTCAATATTCAGATAATTGTGTTCATTGGCTAAAGAAGAAACAACAGAGTTATATGTAAAGTTAGACTAATATATTAGATGTGATGCAGTCCACAAACCCCCCCACCTCCCACGATAATAAACATGGGGTATTAGAGGGGCACAAGACAATTATTGTCTCAACAGTAAGTATGTTAATTCTCCAAATCAAATCAAAGCATGGAATGGATCAGAAATGCAGCAACTTCAAAGATTAAGATATATAGACACTGAGAATATATTCCACAACATAATCATTCCTATAACCAAGAAATAGGTTCCTACCCATATTCAAGGCCCCAAGACCAGGCATGGGGCCAGATCATTAAGGACTTGCTTCCTTAAGAAACCTGTCAAGAAAATTGCTTACAGCAGTAAGATCCACCCTGGGATGTAAATTTGCTACTTGGAAAAGCACCTAAGATTTACAACCTCCAAATGAAAGAATGAGAAAGTTGCTCATTTTAAGCAGTTTTCTCTTAAATGTTGCAGCTATTTGGAAGGTCAGATGATCCAGTTACTAAGATAGATAGTGGCCCACAGCATCTGGTGCCACAGGATTCTTGGAAGTAGAAATACTTTTGAAAGGTCAGTGGGAGGGTAGAATTCAGTATACAAGTGTGCTAAGCTGGGGTAGAAGCCTGCACAGTTATATACTCTGATAATGACTTTGCATTCACAAAATTACTACTGATAGCATAAAGTAATTAGAAATGTATAAGTCATCATTCTAGACAGAATTTCCATTATACAATATTAAATAATATTTTTCAAGCAAGATTCATCATTCCCCATTCCTCATTTGCTTTAGAGAACAATTTCTGGGGGGAAAATTCCTTTAATTCTCTCTACAAAGTCTCTATATTTCAGTGATGCACTGGTGTTAACAGTTCCATCTGGGTGGAGAGATTTAGAATTTCTTCCAATGCTTAAAAACTGGGCAGAAGCATTTCTCATTAATTAAAAAAAATATCTCTCTCTTCAGCCTATACTCTACTGCACAAATCTGTCTGCCTTCCTGGCTTTGCCCAACGACCAGCATGAAGCTAGGCACAGAAGAAAAGATACAAGGCCCACAATCTGTATGGAGGCATGTAGAATGGAGTTGTCCCAAAGATGTTTTTTCAAGAGGCAACTGGACTTCCTTGTTTTTTCTTTGAAGACGTTTCATGTCTCATCTAAGAAGCTTCTTCATCTCTGACTGGATGGTAAGGAATGGAAAGAATTATATTCTTTGCAGACAGCTGGTCATTTGCATTCTTTTAGAGAGTTGTTGAGGCCACTTGGGGGTTTGTCTGTATCCTCAGAGTCACCTGAGTAGTGCAAATGGAGCCTTCTTCGAACTGTCATTCCCCACCATCCAGTCAGAGCTGAAGAAGTTTCTTGGATGAGAAGTGAAACATCTTCAAAGAAAAAGAAGAAAGTCCAGGTGCTTCTTGAAAAAGCACCTTTGGGAACAACCATGACCTGGATGATGGACCTGTAGAATGGAATTAGCAGTTTGCTGCAGCCCACTTGGACAAGTAGAAAATGAAATGAAATGAATCATTGCACATCCTCTTACCCCTATCTTTCTCTTCTAGGTCTTACTATACCACCCATTCCCTCTTCCTCTTTTAGCCAGAGAATGCTTATTTGCTTAAATTGCAATATGCTCAAGTTTAAAATAATATGTCCTATTTTTTTAAAAAAAATCTTACTGTTATATTTAAATTATGACTTAAATTGATTGGATGGTTTACTTTGCCTTTGAGTATGAGATGGGACTACCTTTAGAAACTGCCCAGAAAATTCAGCTGATCCAAAAAGCTGCAAAAGTGCTAACATGATCACTTAGCAATGAATATATTATCTGGCCCTTGAAAGATAGAATTTAACTTCTATTATCTTTATGAGCCTGATTCAACAAGTTGACTTTAGTTATATAGCTCTGAGTGGCCAAGGCTAAATAATGTGAAAAACCATATTCTTTCTACCGTGCTATGCCGTTTACAAAACCCTTATCTTACATGCTTTGTTTTGGCATAAGGCAAATGGAATTCAAAAGAAGAACATCTCTATGGAGCGGAAGGGAACTACTATGCCTTTAGATTTCCACTCCCCCGCCCCCCAACCAATAAATGACACTCACCATTCCATAACTATCAGGAGACACTTTCGACCCTGGTAAAGATTTTCATAGACATCCATGATCTTCACAATATGGGAACACTGAGATGCTCTCCAGTGGAGTTCAACTTCCCTTCGAGCTTTTGGACAGTCTTGCAACATCTAGAAAGGACAAAAGGAGAAAGAGGGATTTCTCCCTTAATTTGAGAAGCACACTTTGAGAGCATCTTTGGTCAATACTGATCAGTAACCATGGGATACTGCAGATTAGAATCTCAACTCCTTTACCAATTGGAAACTAGATTTCACATGGTCTACCATAATAACACATTCGTTAAAAATGAATGATTTACTAATTTTACATATCTGCCACTTCCAAGTACTTCCTTTGCACTCCTGGAATAGATGGGGAGATTTTGTTTCCAGTTTGTTCTTTGGTTGGGGGTATTAAGGATTTTAAGGCCCTTTCCTAAATTCACATCCTGAATAGATATTTCTCATTTTGTAGCAAGTTGACACAATCAAAACCTTCAAAATCACTTTAAAGGCTTTATAAAAAGAAACTAAATTACAAAACATTTTGAGCCCTTTAAAAAGGTCTCCGCTCATGATGTGCCCTCTAGTGGTGGACAATTACAGCCTATAGATTCTGGGTATGTTATATTAGTGAAAGAAGGGATTGTGTTAGATTTCCCAGTTTTCTGAATCTCTTTGCTGCCATCTAGTATTACCCAGATTTCTGCAGTTTATGCCATTTTCATAACTAAACTAATAGAAAATGAAATTGGTTCAACAGGAATAAACATGGCTGATAGGAAAAGAGGCCAGGATCCTGCAGCTTTGTCATACAAATTAATCATGATGAAATTCCTAATGGTAATTCTAAATCAGGGTCTTCTATGATTAGCTTAATTTATACTAAGCACAGATGAATTAAAGCTCTCTCTGCATGCATTCCTCTAAGACAGGGGTCTTCAAACTTGACAGCTTTAAAACTTGTGGACTTCAACTCCTATAATTCCTCCTCTATTCATGTTAGCTCAGGAATTCTGGGAGTCGAAGACCACAAGTCTTAAACTTGCCAAGTTTGAAAACCCTTGCTCCAAGAAGAAAGGTAGGAAGAACCCAGAATGCAAGGGATCATGACTTTCTCTATAGCTTGATACTAACTAGATCATCACAAGTATGAGTTTGGTGTAGTGACTATGACAGGGGTCCCCAAACTTGGCAACTATGCTGGCTGGAGAATTCTGGGAGTTGAAGTCCACAAGTCTTAAAGTTGCCAAGTTTGGAGACCTCTGGACTAAGACATTAGGCTAGATGTCAGTTGGGTAACCTTGGAACTGTCCTATGAAGGAGGCAATAACAAATTATTTCTGAAACCCTTACCAAGAAAAATGCAAGGACTTGTCCAGGCAATCTCTGAGAATTGGACATAATTGATCAGAAGTGGGGGGAAACAGCAGTAACAGAACATTGGAAGAGAGATTCTACTTTCAAGATTTCACTTGTTATGCTTAGTGATGACTAAGTATTGCTTCCAGAATTTTAAAATAAAAATCATTTACAGAGAAATGAAGAATCTTGCAACCTCAAAAGATAAACATGTAAATGAAGGGAAGCTTTGTCATTTAGCCATAAGTATAAAACCTCTTTAATTGGCCCAACTGTTCCCATGTAATGTTAATATGATATCTGGACTACTTGTTTAAAATTAACATTCAGTATTTAAAGGGAAGTGGTGCATAGTTCCAGCTCTGTACATGTTGCTTTTAAAAGTTATCAAATGTATATTAAAAGGGTAGGCTTAAAGTAGAGGAAGTTGGTTGTGTGGGCTTCATAATCTTCCTCCATAAATTTAAATACTGTTTCACTGCTTGTTACAGGCAATGAAACTTGTACAATTCTCTCACCCCATTTGCTCAGAAATCAAGTATACAAAGCATGAGAAGAATAATCCTGACTAAGCCAATACAATAATCAATAATCAATCTCTCACAAAGCTCTCTAATAAACATGTGCATACTTCAAAAATGATTTGGAAGGATTACTTTAGAAAAACTTTTTCAGGTTTTTAAATGAGCATGTTCCTTGAAGCAATATTATCTTTCTTCATACTTGAGAGAAAAACTGAAAAAATTGTGTGGGATATTTTAATGAACGCTGGAGAGATGTTGTGCTCATGCTGACATAAGATCCACAGAACTTCTTTTTGAAGCATGCATTGCCATACATTCACAAATTCCTTCCCAAATATGACACAGAGACAGCAAAAACAAATGATAAAATGATGCGAAATTTTAATGATGCAATAGTCACAGCACAACAATGGGAAGAATTCTGGACCAAATCCGTAACATTCACTCCAAGCCTAAACAAAATTGATACATAATGTTTTACTGATAGTATACAACTCCACAAATAATCCCCAAGATAGATAAATCATACAATAATGATGTTGGATATGTCATGGAGCAGAAGGAACATTTTATCACATGTAGTAGATACATAACCAAATTCAAGCAAGAATGATTCCGATATATAATATATTACACACCAAGCAAATACAAACATTTACAAGGTGGCTTCTAAGGGGGCCTACATATAAACTGGTCAAAGTATTAAAAAGGGGGGAACCAAATACTTTTTCAACTTTTTTGAATGACCTTTGATTAGTTTTTTTCCTCTTTTCTAATATGCATAAACAACAAGAAGTAACAATAGAGTGGAGACCTTAGTGTTAAATATTAAGCTTAAGACAGAAACCTTTATTAAGTAACAAAACATTAATGGTTTTTGCAGCTGTTTATCAACGCCATACTAGTTCTGGATATATGATTTAAGCAACCTTATATTAATTAGCATTTTAGAAATCATAATATTGATACATTTTCCCTTATCTTTAAAGGTTTATATTATATAAATTTAACTCAAGGAAATCATGCACACTCTTAGAGAAAGGAAATCACCCCAATCAACAGAAAGGAAATCACTCCAATACAAAGCCAATTGTGCCACCTGGTGGCAAATGTTCATCTATACATTAATCAACCCATATTTTTATATAACTAGCATTCTCCTTTTCAAAATGGTATCGCTGACTAAATACCTTTCCTGAGATTCATTCAGTAATCCTGAGTTTTCATTATTTCTCAAGTCTTCAGTGATCATTAATTTAAAAAGTAATTAAATATAAAAGCTGCCATAAGTCATTTAGGGGTTTAAAAAAGGCTTATTTTAAAAATCCAATTTTCAAAAAAATAAGTATCTTCAAAATTAAAACTTTATCTTGTAGTTTCTATAGAAAAATGATAATGAAAATTCTTGCTGGATCAGACAAAAATATCCCCAGTGTAGCATCCTTTTTCCATGTTGGCCATCTTACTGGTAAGAGTGGTGGACACAAATGCTGTCATTCCAACTATGTCCTGCTTGAGGTATTTTTCTTGGTCCCAAATCTTTCTATAATGATATGTGAGAATGACTTTGGGGGATGAAAGAAAGAACTGCAAACTATGCAACCATACTATAAACCAGCAGGAAAAAGGGGACATGGGAAGCATTTCAGAAGGGACCCTACACCTTGTTTTCTGGAAAGTAAAAAATAAAGGAAGGGAGAAATGCTTTCAAATTTGAAAGATTGTCTTACTGTAACCCTACAATAAAGTTGCGGCTAATTTAACTCATGGTTTGGGCTTCTTTTCTGGACTACCTTGCAGTGGCTTCACTTCACACTTTCAGCATCTTTGACTGACATTCAGTTGTTGCTTTGAGGAGAATGTTTTCATATCTTATCTTCCTAGCAAAACCATTCTATACACCTGCAGCATATTCTTTGCTGGTCATTCAATCCCTTCCCCAGATTATAACTTTACCTCAAAAAGGGATTCTTCTATCCCCCTGAAATCTTTTAGCTAATTTTTTTCATTGGGATTCCTTTGGCCACCATAGAATGCAAATGCACAAAGGCCACAAAGGCCACATTCCATCTGTGCAAATTTCACTTGAAAGAAATGACCTCTGCCCAAGCTATGATGAGAGTTGTAATCCAATATAAATGAAGGTGGCACTAGATGAGATAAATTAAAATATTAAATATATTATGACATAGACCTTTTCAGCTTGTTTACAAGAAAGATCCGACTGCTTGATACTAAATCACAGCTTTTCCTTTTTCCTAGGAAATAACCTAGCAAATTTCCACTATTTATCTATGTGCAACTAACAGCTGCCACCTTTGGGAATAAAACGTGTTAATTAGTGTAAACTGTGCCTGTTTATACATAACATTGAGGTGTCTACATTTGAAATTTTGGGGATGTTTGATGGAATCTAAATTAGATGCCAATTATAATTGGAATCTAAATTTGGCCTTTTCCAGTTTTTTAGCAGAAATCAAGGCAGAACACATTCTCCCCCACTCCATCCCCACAGAAAATATAAGCCAATAAATATGCTTGTATTGCTGGCTAAATCTAATGTTTTCCTGGATGATTGTTTTAAGAGGAACTTTCAATCATGTGATAGTTTCTCCTTCAATCATGTGATAGTTTCTCCTTCTGCATGGAATTTGTGTTATATTCAGACTGGCAGCTATGGTTTAGTGTTGCAATGCTTTCCTGGCAAAGCAAAACTACTATGTTACCTTAGCAAACTACTGCTTTCTAGACTTGGAAATATGTCTCTGGAGTCTAATTTGTTTAATTATATGTATAGTATACATTTTTTTTAATTTTGATGTTAACAAGAATAACTTCCCTAGCAAAGAACAACAGCTTTACAGAGAAGACAGAGAAAGAGATAGAAGAGAAAGAGAAAGAAGGCCTTACTCAGGGAAACATGATAGCCAGCATTTGACTTAGCTTCTCAGGTCACACAGTCAAGGCTCAAAATAAATCCTGTCTTTCAAGCAGACAACATCAAAAGAACTGCATAATCTCAAACTTGAAAGATTGGGAGAGTTGTCTTAATATTATAGCAACATTTGTCACATGTCCACATGGAGGGTTAAAAATCTAGTAAAAAGTTCCCCATATTGGGCAAATATTGCCAATTCATCTCCAAGCATGAGAATCAAATACTTCTGGAGGGCATCAGGTTGGGAAATGCTGACCTAATCCATGCTTCTATGATGCTCCATTGAAGTTTACAAAGAAGATATA